TGATATTTTTTATTTAATTATTTTTTAAATAGTAAAAAAGACATGACATTTTATTGAGAAAATAGACAAATAAAAAAATTTTTTTTAAACAAGAGCAAAAAAGAACAATTTTTTTTGAAGGATATATCCAGAATAGAACTTTTTTCCTGAAAAAAGAATCTGGTTATTTTGACATTATAATAATTACAATTAATTTAACATATTATCAAATTCTCTTTAGATTAGATGGGTCTACAAGTGGAACAGTACCTTTATTTAGAGGTCCTCAAAATGCACAGATTGATACTTCGGAACTACGTCGAATTAAAGTTGATATTCATAGGAATATTCCTGTAAAAGGACCTGTTACCGAATTAGAGAGAGATATACTTAATCCTGAAGATGTGATCGTCAAGAGAAGAGAGGGTAAACTGTTAATTTCTCTATCTTTATGATTTTCTAAAATTCTTATTTTTTCAAAAAATTATTATTTAGCTCTGCAGTAAATGAAGAATTGTGTTACAGATAAAGAATTGATTGTGTATCTGCAATAACAAATAATAATGATGTGTCTCTATTATATCAATAGCACAAAAGGTTTGATATATATAAGCTCTAGATTGATGCATCGATAGGTTTGTTCTTTACATCTATGAAGAATTTACTATCTAAAAAAATTGATAATGAACTCCCTGAAGACGACAAGCAAGAGAAATACTTGTAATAATGATGAACGTTGAAAATCTGATTCAATCTGATTCAATTCTAATCCAAGAAATTTTTAAACACAGAAGGAATATTTTATCCTTTATTTTCAACCTGTGATTTTTTTCACAAGAGGTGTAAAATATATATTTATGCAGGAACTTAGAATGTTTTCCTGAAAAGATATTATGTCGCAAATCGAGAAGTATGTTTAACTACAATTAAATAATATTCATATAATATTCAAACAGTATTCAAATAATTTATTATTGCATATTTGATACTCTTGCAGCAAGAGGTTTAATGCATGTACATTTCAAATATAGTATTTGTTTTAATGATAATTTTATTCAGATTTCTAAGCTGTATGTTTCTTTTTTTTTTATTAAAATATCTAATTAAGCGTTATTTACTTATACTAAAGCTACATTTAATTACACTTTATTTATTTATGTTTTGTACAAAATTTCATTTAACTTAAAACGTTGTTCCTATAGGAATATTCCTGTATAAAGACCGAGTACGAGCGTAGCATGGAGGACAGCGCGTAAGTCTACCACATTAGGGGACATGAGTTCGATCCCTGACAGATCTAAGAAATTTTCACGCGCTCGTAGCTTCTCTTCGGCGGTCTGGCAAACTACCAAGAGTATTGTTCTCTATTGCCGAGAACAATCCTCTTAACACTGCCATTCGAAACCGGCGTTAAATTATAGGTCT